GAACAATAAGAAAGAATTGTGGTTACATCACAGTTCAACAAATAAGTGACAAATATGTAATTTTTCTAGGTTTACATATCACAGGCAGGCTGAAAATTGCATATAAACATATATATATATACAATAAATAATATATACAATAAATATAATAAATAATCATTGCCGATCCGTAGAGTCGATGCTACCCCTCTCCGAGAAGCGTAAGGCGTAAGTGAAGAGGAAGCTAGAAGCTATGAAAGGTTATTATGATGTAGTGAGGGGAGTAATCGAGATAAGATAAATTGGCCGGTATAGAGGAGATTCTCGAAAACAGATGAGAGAGGTTGTGGGAAACAAGATCTGTCTCTTTGTCTCTCTGTTTTGGCACTCGCGATATAATACCATGTATGCCTTCCCGAGCGGTATTCCCGTGACATTATGGGTCGTGTGTATATCGTTAAGCGCTTTTATTATGCGACAAACATTTTACCCCGTTTTATACGATAAATTACTGATGTGAATGAATAAGCGAGGTTGTGGATATATATATATATATATATAAATAATTTGTGTGGGTGTGTGTGTGTGGGTTTAGTATGTATGAAGTGTATGTATATGTGTGTCTGTGGCAGACCTTACCGTGTTATCATCAACGTTGGACGTCTTTTCAAACCGCACTAGATTGTTTACGAGTTGAAATGATGTCTGGACCTCCAACCACCGGTCATTTGTTCATATCTCTCTGCTCACTTCAACTCGCATGAATGGATGATGATGGATATTTGAGTAGCTTGATGATGGGCATTCTTCAAACCGGTCATCATTCAATGCCATCATTAGTTGGCTCTTACCTTTACCATCATAGTTGTAGATGCTCATACGGAGGACAAGGTGAAATCTATTTTAAAATCAATTCGACTTTATTGTAAATGCGAATTTAGATGTAACATGAAAATTGTGAATTTTAAATTAATGAATTTCTGGACGAGTCATTATGAGAAATATTCCTTAATATCGTTGTTATATTGTATTAAATTCATGCTTTATCCAAGCTAAAAAATATTAGGGCGATTCAGCTATTAAGCAGATTCAGAAAAGGAAAATTAGCCTGATTTTGTGATGCAGAATTGTTAAAAAATGAAATGAGAAGGGAATTAACTATTCATCGATATGTAGAATATGTGAGGTGAACGAATAATTCAAATAAAAAGTAATTTAAAAGTGCGTGCAATAAAAGAAAACAGATAAGAGTAAAGGAATTTTACATTTTAAACTTAAGAAAAAAAAACGGAAAATTCTTTTGAGTAAAGATTGGATTTTTAAACGGAAGGCAGAATGAATGATCTCGAATGGGTCTAAAACGTATTTATCTGCAATAAATTAGTACAGTGATATAGATGATGGTAGATGTTCTTTCAGACTGAAAAACTCTTAAAACAGCGATATGAATTTGAAGTGGAGCTGTTTCGAATATATAGTTACTCTGCTAATTATTAATGAACAAAACGAAATAAAATTTTGAAGTGTTACTGTAAGTACTACTGCTGAGGATTAGTGACTTATAAACAAGAGGAAAAAAATCAAGGGTCTGCCGAGTTTTGACTTCGAGTTTTTATTTAGAAATCACTTTAAAAAGACCAAAAAAAAAGTTTTTAATCTTTAAAGAGGATAATTACTAGTCGTTTGCATCCAGTCCTCCCTTTTTTATTCTTCTCTTTACCGCGGTTTTAAGCAGCACCTTATATTTATCTATTATTTTACTGCACCAGAACGGTTATTTATTACGAGTAAACATAAATTATAGTCGAACAAAGAAAAAAAGTGTCAATAGAAGTTTATTTATATATAAATATATGGATGGAAGGAATCAGGATAATGCGGTCCGAACAAGATGGGATACATTCATGCATAAACATATTTATCCAATATCTCGGTGCATTTCCAGACTTCCTTTAGCATTTTAATCAAATTCTATGTAATTCATGAGAGAATGAATTGGCTCGTATATAGTAGAGCTCTGAGTGGAAATGAAGGAGAAAGCGAAAGAGGGAAAGAGATGAACATGTATTAGTTATTCCTGAACAATATATAACACTTCTGTTAATAAAATAAGTGCCGAAGTAGATGATGCATGAATCTTGTTAAGTATATTAAAGGGAGCAAATTTCAAAAATTCGTTAATGATTTTAAGAATTGATTACAATAAGTTTGAATTCGAGTACACACAATTTTGGACCATTGTTATTGCATTAATTTACGAATCAAACAAGAATGTGAAAACAAAAGTAGAATTAGACTCTGCTATATGGTAAGCAAAATAAAACTGTAGTTGTAATGTAAGGAAGGGAAACGTTCAAATTGTTTGTAAATTCTTTATTTACATTAATATAAACTTCGAGACTTGGTAATTCCCAAATTTAAGATCTTATAACACTTACTGATTCTAAATTTAAAATGTATGCATACCTCCATCAATATTAAGCGTCACAATAGCAGGTGGTTTCTTTATGGTCATTCAATCGGCCGTCGAAGTTTTATTAGTCCCGTTTGGGGGGAGGGGGACTGAGTGTTATGATGATGGTAACGGAGATGGTAGTAACAGCAGGAATAGTTGTAGGAGTAGCGGTAGTAGAGTAGTAGTAGTAGTATTAGTAGTAGTAAGAGGAGGAGGAGGAGGAGGAGGAATAGCAGTATTAATAGTACTAGAGTAGTAATATAATAGTGAATTTAGGATTTGACGAAGAAGCATAGAGAGCCGTGCTTGGTTTGTTAGAATCAATATAATAGCAGAGTTCGAAATAACAGAAGAGAATGAAATGGAAGTGTGAAGAAGTGGAAATGGGGGATATATAGGGAGGGAAAAAGAAGAAGGTGGAGACAAGCTTCATGCCTCATATTTACCCGTAAATACATATAATTAATTATTGCAATTGCATGTATATATGTGTATATAGGGAGAAAGTTAAAAAAAAAAAAAGGTGAAATTTAATCCTTATAAAGTAAATCAAAAACAGAGTGACACTTATATTACTACTTTATAATCCAAATCGAAGTTCTGATTTATGAGCTATTGGCAATGCAATGGCATTGTATGAATAGAGTTTAAAGGAGCCGCTTGAAGTGGGTAAAGCTTTCATACTAGCTTTAATTGCAATTACTATTATTATTATCGTTATTGTTATGCTAAGAAACACATACAGGAATGGATTAACGAATTAGATTGTGTTTATTGCAGTATATTTGATGGGTGATCATTGGAACCTTCTGGAACTTATAACCTTTTCGTGTCCAATTTTAATAACACTTTAGGGATTAATAGCATAGAATGAAAAGGATAGTAAGCAAATATTCAAAGATATGTTAATAGGTAATTCATAAGCTTGAAATACCCTAATTGATATGTTTTGTGATTGTTATTATATTCATTTCTCTCTTTCTCTTTCTTTCTCTCTCTCTCTATCCTTAAACACGAAACTGTAATTTATGTTATTTATTCCTAGGCATCAAAGTGCTTGTAGTCTGGACAGTTTATCTTCGAAATACTTAATGCTAATAAAGAAATATTTTCAATAATATCTGAAAATTTGACTGCAACTCACTACTGTTAGCATTTAAGAAGCCAAATTTTAGTATAACATTTATGTCAATCAAGTCATTTGGGATTACTTGTTTGAAAGAAATTTGAAATTTGATAAAAATAACAACAACCAATTTAGCAAAATGCTATTCATTATGTTATGAAAAGCAACATTCTTCAGTAATCAGCTTTTTTAATTTTATCAATTTTTGTTGATTCCTTTTGAAAACAGCTGCCGGAACGAACTTAATAAATTTTCAAATTTTCGAATGAATTTGAAATGAATTCTCACTGACTAAAAATTTATTGTAAATATATAGAAGTATATATAGTTGAAAAACTGGGCGGAAGTATTAGCAAAAGGAAAAATTGCCTAAACGTAGTAGTGATTGATTGAATGGATGCATTACATATGCTGTCACTGGGCATTAAGCCTTTATAATACATATGTCAAAATTCACTTCTACTGTCAGTGAATATTAATCTTTCATATATGTGTCAGAATTTGAAGAGATGAAACCTGCATTTATTAATAGGCAAATGAGAGAATTCAAAGTGATTAATAATAACTGCAAAAAATTTGAACGTTATATTTTTCGTTTTTGCTCAACTAAATTGCTATAACACTGGATTGATTGTTAAGACTGCTGGAATTATAATTTGAGATTTTGTTATCTTCGTTATATAATAGAAAGAGAGGGAAGGAATGATTTCAGTAATCAGTATTGTGATCAACTAGTGCATTATTGATGGATAAAAGATGGATTTCCCATATTTTTTTTTTTTTCAAATATTTATGAAAGTGAAAATTTTTGATTTTCTTTAGAAAAAATTTTTTTTAGAAATCTTCAACAAATTTTTTGCCAAAATGAAATGTGTTTTTTAGTGAAAGATTCAAAAGACTCTGGGGAAATTGAGATGTTTTTCTAGATGAGAAGGGTAAACTTCAAAGAAAGAAGAAAGGAAAAAAGACCTTGGGAGATTTTAAGGATTTGTTAATATTGGATGGATGAAATCCCCCCAAAAAAAAGAGCCCTTTTTTTTTCAACATATCGATGTGATGCTGTGAGAAAGAGGAAATGTTCTTCGTTTTCTCTGTTTTTACCCATAATTTGTTCATTTCATTGAACAGATATTACCAATGCTAACCTTTTTCATTAATCAAATTGGTAGTTTAATGCGAAGATTTGTATGATACATCTCATAGTGCGGTGTATCATATTTTTTGCATTTGAAGCCAAATGATGATCATTGTCAAATTTATATCTCTCGAAAATCTTCTTTGTTGATTCATCTAAGATATTCCCAAAAAAAAGTAGGAATTAAAGTTTACTTGAAACACTCCAAAAGAATTTCAAAATGGTATTCGAACTGATGTGCTGTGCTGTGAGGACTTTTCAATTTGTTGCTGTCATTAAATGACATAAAACATTATTAGTGAGGAATGTCTTTTCAGGAAGTGCATGCAATTGTTGAGGATCTCTCGCTGAAACTTGGAACATCTGGTGAAAAATGGTTGCAGTCGGCAACAAAAAAGCCAAAATATTTCGAGTTCACACCGGTTGAGCTGTATGCCATCACAGAAAGGATGAAATTGGCTGAACCAACAACAAATGGCATGTTTTTTGTTTAAAATTTTTGGGTCACAGTTTTCCGGTTCGTAAGATACTGTACATTAAAAAAAAGAAACAAAAAAATTGTTGAATTACTGTTCTTTCTCAGAAAGCACTGAAAATTATTAGATTTTTGTTTTCCTAAAAGAAAAGATTGCAGAATTGTTTTCATGAAAGAAACTATTAATTATTGATATGTTTGAGGTGATGGAAAAACGGATGTTGCAAATTATGTAGAATTTCTACATAATGTTCGAAATTTAAAAATTCGAGGCGCTCGAGGTTATGTGGGTACATCGAATATCATATGGAATTCCCTACCGTTCGGTCTCAATCTTTGCAAAAATATTGCAGCGCTTTGGGTAAATTTTACATTATTAACAGTAGTTTTGGATATAAAATTGAGTGTTTCAGTATTTTTGACTAATTCTGAAGAACCGTCTAATTAAATAACATACCATCATTTCAGATAAGCGACTTTGATGTGCGCATGATTCATGATTTATATTCGGTGCGTAGTACATGTAAACGCGTGGTCATTCATTATTCCATGAAAAAACTTTCTGTTGGTTTTGTTTTTGAATTCTATTAATCAGCTGTTCATATCCATTGGAACATTGTAACTTTTCTCATCTTTACGTGAAGGAAAAAAATCATGGCTGCACCCATTGGTTTTTTTAGGGGAGAATCTTATTATTTTATTATTTTAAAGGATTTTCTGCTAGAACCTGATGAGATGTTGCCAATTGAAAATCAAGAGAAATGGTCTTCTCTTGAAGAAACTGATTTTTCATTCAACGAACTTGAAGAAATTGATGAAAGCATTGTAAGTTATGATGGATAAATGCAGTTTATGAATTTAAGTAAAAAGTAATCAACTAAATAGATTGAAAACAGTTGTAGAGAAACTACTGCTATAATTTTCTATTCGTGATCTAATTAGTGATTTTGAACTGCTGTTTAATTTAAAGGATCTCTTTGTTTGAATTTTTGAATATGTTTTTAAAGGTTTCTTTTATACTATTCAGCAATTATAATGAATTACAGAGTTTGCTGAATTTGGTAAGGAAAATGAACTTATCACATAATCTTCTCACGAATATTGGAGATCATTTGCAACATCTCACGATGTTGACTGAACTTAATCTCTCACATAATGCTATTAAAGATTTGGATATGTGGTATACGAAACTGGGTAATGTAAAACGCTTGTATCTTGCTGGCAACAAAATATCTACACTTAATGGTACCTTTGCTTATATCAGATCATTAGAAAATTAAATTATAGTCGTGCTTGGCTTAATTTACCGCATTATAATAAAAGCTTGTGCAAATAGTGTTGTTTTAGTTCTCCATTCAACATTATTTTATGATCTGATGTCTTCTTTTACAGGATTACATAAATTATATTCTTTGGAGTTTCTGGATTTGGCTGACAACATTGTGGCTTCTCCTGATGATATTCGAGCAGTCGGTACTCTTCCTTGTTTAGATCATCTAATTTTGCGGGGCAATCCAATCCGGCAAATTATCGAATACAGGATAAAAGTTTTGGAACACTTTGGAGAAAGAGCTGCCGAGGTTATTTATTTGATTTGAATTTTCATTAAAAAATAAAAAGTCTCGTTTTATGTATATTCCTGTGCTTTATTCAATTTTTTGCTTTCAACTAATTGGTTTTTATATTAAAGTCTTGAAATTACTTTTAGGACTTTGAATATCGAATGAAATGAACATGAAGATAGTAACTATCTGACTATTGAATGACCATGTCAGGATAATGACATATCAGAATAATACAGATAACCTAGTTCTCATGAAGTTGATAGCCAGTAGTGACAAGTGCAGGTTATCCGTATTATCCTGATAGGTTATATCTTCCATATATTCCAGATACGTCCAATCACTACCATCACTAGCATATATTGCGCTTGGCTTCTGCAATCCTTCTGAATACCGTTTACATTTTATTGTTTAGAATGTTTTAGGTAAAATTGGATAGCAGAAAACCTGATCAACGTGAAGTGGATACGATATTAGTTCGTTTAGCATTGCGAAAAGCACGAGAAGAGAAAGAAGAACAAACTCGAAAAAGGGCATTGGGGATCGATAAAAGGACGAAGTTAAATTTGAACATATTTTGTTTAACTTTTTGAAGCTTTTTGTGAATAATTTAACTCTCGCTACATTTCCATTCTCGGAATTAATAATGCTGCCATTTGTGAAACCAAGCAAAAGTCAAAAACTTATTTTCTAATCATTTCCATGAAATCAAATCATTCAATGAACTAATTCATGAAACAAAAGGAAATATTTATTGCAGATCTCTATCCGAAGGAGATATGAATTCTTCAATCCGGTCACTATGAAGGACAATTGGATTCAAACCAGGTTCTAAATATTGCATTGCTAAAGTATTACTTAATATGTGTATAGGATTTAAAAGATTTATTCTGCATACTGTTTATTTTAAGAAGTTATTTGATTTTCACTGTATTTTAATCATTTTGCGATGTCTTTCATATATCATGCAGACGAATGATTATTGTTGCCTTGTTGTTTGTTCGGAAATTCTATTTAATTTTTTATTTTTTTCTGTATCACTTTTTGTTGAATATTAAAAGAGATGAATGGTAAATAGGTGCATCATTTTATCATCCTTTGCAATATGTAAGTTACACTAACTTCTATCCCTGAATTCTTTATTTTCCTTAATTATTTTTATTTATAATCTTTTCGCACATCACATAAGTGATCTTGAAATAAATGGTTAAAAGATGCTTCCTCATGGGACCATTGCTTGATCATATACACTTTATAGTTGTAACTTTATCTTTCCATGGAGATACAGCTATCAGGAACACCTGGATATTTTGGTATTTTGATTTTGATGGATAAAGCAAGAAGCGATGAGCTTGTCGAATTTCTGGATGATTTGTTGAGTGATTTACCTCCCAGAGTTTTTTTTATTATTCTGGTTTTCGCTATGCTGCTGTGTTACTTTTAAGTGTGGTCCGGTAAATGTTTTACATAACATTATTAAGTTATAATAATATTGTAATCAATCGTATAATTCATTCGAAGAGAGATAATTGTTATCAGGAAAGCATTCTTGTATACAAATTTGCCCAATTTGAACGAAAAGAATTGGTTTGAATTTTCAAAAAAAGAATAAATTCATATTGTTGCGTTCATTTAAAGCAGTAAAAAAAAGTATGTGCCGCGGTTTTTAATAGATTGATAATTTTGATTATTCGTCAATTTAACGTGAAATATTATCATATGATGATGGGAGGATTACGCGTGGGTCACAATTGTCTTCCTAAAGCGGTCACAATATGATTATTAACTTTGTTTAATTAATTCAACTGATAAGTTTTTTATGACTCAGATTGCTTTGTTTTCGCTCATTAGTCTCATTAGTCTGCTCAAAACTTTCATGGCATATACTCTAAACCTTTCCCTCTTGTCCAAATCGTGCTATCTGCAAACGAAAAATGAATTAACAAAGTGAATTTTTACAAAATTTTATTGTATTCTAAAAATTCATAAAGAATTAAATGCTGGAAATAGTATGAGAAGTTTTATTAGATTAGGCCGTTCTAGTTTGAAAGCAATGAATAGTATAAATGAACCAAAACTAAATTAATGAATTAAAATTCGGAAATACTTCAAAGGAACGAAGTTTGATTAAGTTTGCAAGTATCATAACAAAGAATAAAATTATTTGTAGAAAGTATGGGTATAGAATATTGCAAAATATCATAATGGACATATATTTAAATAGACTTTTAGAAGAAGTTAGAAATCAGATAGCATTTAGGGGAAATTAAGAATGAGATTGAGAATGGATGAAAATGAAAGATGATTTCTATTTGGTGATTCGGATGAATTTATCTCGTAATTTTTATCGTTATTCTAAAAATGAAATACCTCAATTAAGTTTGAAATTACGGCGATAGTATATAGAATGCATGGTTTGTTTGATTTTGTATTTGAGAATGGATTTGCTCCCGTGAGAAAACACCACTTCGTCAATTATAAGGCGGTCTTCGTTAGTCAGCACCGTAACTGAGTAAATAAAATTTTACCTCTTCATTGGTGTATCACATTGCGCCAACTTGTTACTACATTTTGTTTCATAAATAACAATTTTAAAGCTATAAGATTATTGATGAATACTAATTGTGAAAATCTTTGCAATCATTAAAGTAATTTTTTTTTTCTTCAAATCTGTTTCATCAAATAAAAATAGTCGTAGTTGGAATTTAATTTGGTGGTAAGTAATTATTCAGGGATTGAATTTTTCTTGTTTCTTTTGTTTTATATGTTCGCGCAACTACAATTTCTGGGTATGAAATCTGTTCCTTCAAATAAAAATTTGACATGAAATCATATAAAGGTTATTTAAGGTTAAAAATTTGTTCAACAGAAAATGAGTCAAAATCTTATCCTCGGGATACATATTTGTATAAAGAAAAGGTATGTATACTTAAAGGATTGATCAGGTTGGCCCATGTTTATCTCGGTCAGGTTTTCAATATGCGACATTCCGTGATCCATATAATCCGTTATGCAAATTTCCCTCATCATCATAATTAACTTCTGTGACAATTCCGTTATATGCAAATAATTTAACTTAATTGGTAAAGATTTGTTATTTTGAGCAAAATGGATTTTCAATCAAAATTATAATTTGAAAAAGAAAAAAAAGTAAAGCTCAAGTAATACTGATATGATTAAATTCTTTCATTAAATAAGTCAATTTAAAACTGACAATTATATATGCATATCGTAATAATTTAATTTCTTAACATTGATAATAAAAATAATAGAAACTAACTTTTTAATTTTACTAATTTACTTTAATTTTCTAACAAAAAAGTATTTCGTGAATAATTGTTGTATTGAGGAATAATTCATGCTTCTTTCTTTCTATCTTTTTTATTTTGAATATTTAAAAAAAAAAATGATGACCCCTATGTTGACCTCATTTGTAAAACAATAAAGCATGCAATATATCTGTAAGTCGTACTTTTCTCTTTTTTTTGTTTTATTATATATTGCTTAAGTCAGCTGTGATTTAGCTGCCATATAATTTAGAACTGAAAGAGGGAAATATAAGAAACAGGGGTATAAGAGAGAGAAAGAGAGGGGGAGAGAGAGAGAGAGAGAGAAAATGAAGAAAGAGGTTAATTGGATGAAGAATGATAAAATCGGCATCCTATGAATCAAAAGGATGAGGATGGAAGAAGATAGTGAAAAATACGAAAGCTTGAAATTGATACCATTGATCAGTGCTAGAAACTTTCCTTCTCGTTCTGGTCATTCGATCGGGTAGTTAAAGTGGCATTCTTTCAAACAAAGATTATCTGATGATAATGATGATGATGATGATGATCATCATCATCATCATCATCATTATCATCATCATCTGTCTGGCTCAATGAATGTTTTAAAGGCTTTCCATTTCATTTGGCAAAGAGAAAGGATGAAGAAAAAGAGGATGAAGATGAAGAAGAAGCCTAATGAATCCCCCCCTCCCCGGATAAGGGTAAAACGCGCCTGTTCTTCCTTATCCCGTATATCATCCATCTCAACCAGAACTTATAATCAAGAATAAATCAGTCAGTTAGGTGTATGGGTGTGTGTCTGTTAGGGTGTGTGTGTGTGTGTGTGTGTGTGTGTGTGTGTGTGTGTGTGTGTGTGTGTAAGCTTGCATGGGGAAGAAGTATGGATCAGCGTAGCTCAAAAGTTGAAACCTCCTGACGTCATCACTCAACACAGATCATTTCTTCCCTATTCTGTCCATTACAAAATGCCATTTATTTAGCAAATCCAATCATATTACATACGTCTGTTCATTATTATTCTATTTTCTTTTTCTTCTTTCTTTTCTTTCTCTCTCTCTCTCTCTCTCTCTCTCTCTGTAATTTTTATTAATTTTTTAAGAAAAAAAGAATTTTTTTTTGTTCGCTCAATTTTTTCATAGTATTGAAAAATTTATCGAGAATAATAATTAAAAAAAAAAACAAACGCAATCTCAAATTTTTTTTGGATTATAGTAATTATGGGAGAGTAAAAGAAAAAGAAGGGAAAAAAAAATTCGAACTTTTTAAATCAATGATTAAACTAACTTTAAATTATATTGCAATCACTGAAATATATATTTCATTTTGTACGAGACATTTTCAAAAGTGTTAAAAAAAAGAAAAAAAAAGAGAAAATTTATAAATGATAGAAACGAATTATGTAATTAATGATCATATAAAATTTATTAAAATACAATATTTGTTTGTTTGTTTTTTTTTCTCCCTCAACAATTTTAAATATTTATAATTTTTAAACAATAAATTATTTAACAAAAATAATCAGTTGCGAATAATAAAGATTAAAATTTAGAGAAAAATTAATTCTAAAAAAATAAAATCATGTAAATAATTTTAGTGGATGATAACATTCATTATGCAAAATTTGGCATCATGTTCATTTTACGTTTTAATAGGGTAAATATTTGAGAGTGATAAAATAAGTGTGTATTTAATAATTGATACCGATCTTTTTTACAGAATTATATCGAAAATCAATATTGGAAGTAATATAATAACTAACAGTTAACTAA